GCATGTATAGTCAATCACAAGAGGACTCTACTTACATCTAGTTGTTCCCTTGTAGGTTCTGGTGATCGATCAGGAATTAGTAAATCAGGAGGGTCATCAAATGGATCATCTAAAATCACTGTATGATTTATCCTTACAAAATAAATCCAAGTCAAATATTACATTACATTATTTCAGAATCCATGTTTTACTTTTTATACAGATTTTAAGCAGTAAGTATCTCTAATGCAAAAAAAAGATGAGCTCTTTCATTTTACTGCACAAGAACATTGCAAGAGTATACTTTCACAATCAATACTGCTGGTTTTCCCTGTTCAATAAATATATTTATTACTCTTCATTAGTCTAAGATAATATAAATGTCTAATATTAATCTAAATGTCTGAATCATACTTTTGCCATATTTCTCAATAATCTACATTAAAAAAACTAAATTAAAAGAGTAGTAATTCCTCCCAATATAAACAACTGTAAATAATTGGGACAAATATAAAAATATAAAAAGTCTTTTCTATCATAAAGATTCTTATAGTCTTGTATTAACTCACATTTTGGAATTATCCCAAAACTACTCTTATGCATGCCTTTACCACTAGTCAAACATAATAGTATTATAACACTATATAATTTTATAATTACTATATAATATTATTTATAAATACTATTTAATATTATAATTACTAATAGTAGTATGTTCAGACAGTAAAATGTCTGATCAGACAGTAAATCATACCTGATATCCTGATATGGTACAAAGTCCTTGTCAACAAAGGTCTCATTAATTTTCTTAATTATGTCCATGCCTTCTGTCACTTCACCAAACACTGTATGAACACCATCAAGGTAATCTAGATTATCTCCTGTAGTAATAAGAAACTATACAGAAAAACATAGAAAAATACAAATAAGTATATATATATACATATATATATATATGTATATATAAATCAAACTGAAATCACTTAAGACTGACAAAAATACACAAAAGTAACTCTACATTAACTGCATGGAATCTTAACCACTTGTTACAGTGCTAAGTAAAAAGTACAAAGTTTACCCATAAAATATCAATACATACATAGATTCCCCAATTGCTGAAAATAGTTGATTGTTTAAAAAACTCAGACAAACCAAGGCTCAGTTTCTTCATGTGTAAACTGTGAGACAAAAAGGAGCATCTACCCTACATGGGGTTAGTGTGAAGATTAAACAAGACAATCACTGAAATGTACTCAACACGACCTGTTCTGAAGCAAGCAATACTGAAAGGGAACAGGCCACAGTGTGAACAGTGATGATCCGTGGATGGTGGGACTATGGGTGATGTTATTTTCTTCTTTGTACATTTCTGTATATTCTGAATTCCTCACAATGGGTATGCCTTACATTTAAAAGAACAAAATAATTTTTTTGATATAGAAAAGTTTTTTTCTTCTGACAAATACCTTTGATTGAAATTCTCTTTTGACTGAATAGTTTAAAAAGATAATTTTGTGGCTCTTTTCAGTCCTTCATTTTAAAGCAAGACTCTCATCTTCTCACTCATTAGCTAACCTGAGATCCATGCTGATCACTGCCATTGTTCACCATGGACACAGTGCCTTTCTTCTTATGCTTAATTCTTGGCACTTTTTCAGCTTCAAAAAAACTTGCTTGATCACCATACAGTTGACTGAAAAAATACACATAATAAGGTTATGAAATATAAGGAATCCCAACATGAAATACAGAAGCAACATACAGGGTTATCATTTCTTTATAGAAATGCCACTATGATTCAAAATATTCCTCATTTTTGCTACAGATTTTTAGGAAACATGGAAAATATCTGTATTAGAACCATGTTTTGAGATACAGGTTGAAACATGCTAGTTAACACTGTTAAGAGACAATTCTGTTTTTTCTCATTTAAAAATAAAAAACTTACCCAAAAACAGACTCTCCTCCACGGCCAGTCCCTGTAGGATCACCAGTTTGTATGATAAAATCCCTCTGTAATATACAGGATATTTTGTTAATTCAGAGTTTGCTAGATGGTTCCAGTAACAAAGGACATGACAAATATCCAGCAACTCACCTGAACATTGTGAATAAGGCAATAATTGTAATATTTTATTTTGCACAACTTCAGGAAATTCAAGCAGGCTAAAAGAAAGTAAATATTAAATTTATCACAGTAGTCCACAAACATATTTTTAAGCAAGTAAAATAACAATTATTATAATTTCTAAATTACCATCCAACTCCCCCAAATGGTCAAATGTCCAAGGTCAAAAAAAAGCAGTTAGCCTAGAAAAAAGCAATACATTTTAAATTGTCTTTTTATTGTCTTTTTCGTAAGATTTCTTGGGGCATCTAAGTTAATGAAGGAAACTGCCACTTATCTGCAATAAACTATCATTTATTGATGGATTAATTTTCTAAGACAAAAAAGAACAAAGACACTATGACAGGAAAAGATCTAGCAGGGTGTCTGAAAATAGATACAAATTATATAAATTAGAGAAAATCAAATATCAGGGACCCATTTCTTTTTATAATGATTAACTAGCCCTTCACAAAAAATCCATAAACTTATCTTGTACCAGCTTTCTCATATCAAATGCACTTGCTTATCCAATAGACATTTACTGAATACCTTTTAGGTACTTGGCACTGCTGTCACAAATGCCATTAAACTAGAGTCCCTGCCCTCAGAAAGTTCACAGACTAGTTGTAAAGAGACACAGTAAGAAGCTCTGAAAGCGCTAAGCTAGAAACCAGATGGACAGAAACATTTATGAGGCTGTTTCTGCCTCAAGGATCTTTTACTCAACTAGGGCCTTTACAGCTGAAAACAGAAAAAATACTGGGCCTAGTTGATAATATTATTTGTGCCACTTAAATAGTAAAATGGCAAAAAAAAAAAAGTGCTTTAAAAAATTCCAGAAGAGCTCAAAAGAGATTGTTTCTGGCCAGGGAAATTAGAAGAGGTCACAGAGGCTAAAGTGGGCAGCAAAAGAACTGGATTGGCAGAGAGTAGAGAGGGTCCAAAAAGACCAGTCTAAGTTGTGTAACACTCTGGTACTACAGAATAATAGAGGGTAAAAAAGCCAGAAGAGTAAGATGAAGCCAAGCTACTGGAGGGACTTGAGTATCAGGCTTTCAAACACTTTTATAGAAAATATGTATTTCTGGGCTTACTGTTAAACACCTAAGAGTAGTCCTTTGACTAGAAAAGAAAAATAATAGATTTAGGCAGTGACCATCAATAGTTGCCAAAATCTTTAGGTGAAAAAGTACCATTCTAGCATCAGGTAGAAAAGCCTGAACCCAACGACCAATTTTAACAACACAGAAAGATCCAACAAGACACCCAATGCCTCCTGAATGTGATGAAGTTGACAGTACAGATTGCCTTATGTGAAATATTCTTGCCAAAAACATTAAATCAGAATCTGATCAAGGCTGTGGATCTAAGTAGCAATTTATGAGAACTATAAGGGATAGAAGAATACATCAAAAGATACAGCAGAGATAAAATCAGTCAAATCCAAAAGGAGGGAAATTCTATAGAACAAATGACTCAGATCTTTTTCTCAAGAAATTTTCAAGGAAAAAAAAGAGAGAGAACCTATAGATTAAAAGGTATTTAAGAGACATATCAATCAATGCAATATATGGACCTTGGAAGTTTGTTACAAAATTAGGCACACTCTTATTGTACAATCCGGAAACCATATTCCTTGGAATTTACCCAAAAGAGATGAAAACTTATTTCCACACAAAAATCTGCAGATGAACATTTATAGGAGCTTTATTCCTAACTGCCAAAATCTAGAAGCAGCCAAGATGTCCTTCAATAGGTGAATGGATAAATAATCTCTGGTACATCCGGATAATGGAATATTATTAATGCCAAAAAGAAATGAACTATCAAGCCATGAAAAGACATGGAGGAACCTTAAATGCATAGTACTATGTGAAATAAGCCAATTAGAAAAGGCTACATACTATATGGTTCATCTATATAACATTCTGGAAGAGGCAAAACTATGGAGACAATAAAAGATGAGTGGTTGCCTGGAGCTGGGGGGGGTGAGTATGGAGAACAGGCAGAACACGGAAGATTTTTAGGGCAGTGAAACTATTCTGTATAATAAAAAATGGTGGATACATGTCAATATATATATGTCCAGACCCACAGAATGGACAACAGCAAGAGTGTAGCTTAATGTAAACTATGGACTTTGGGTGTTAACATAAGTTCATCAAATATACCACTGTAGCAGCAATTGTACAACATGTAAGGTATATAACAAATGGCATTAATGTTCAACAGAAGTACTACTCTGGTGGGGGATACTGACAATGGGGGTGGCTGTGCTTATGCATGACAATGGATGGGAGTATGTGAGATATCTCCATACTTTCCCCTCAGTTTTGCTATGAACCTGAAACTTCTCTACAAATCTTTTTAAAAAAGGCAAAGGGAGAAACTACAGAATAAAAGGTATTTTAGAAATCTGTCAACCAATATATGCCCTTGTTAAATTACCAATTATTTTGTAAATGTCTATGAGACAATAGAAAAATATGAATGATACTAAGAAATTATTGCTATTTTTTTCAGATGTGATCATTATTTGTGAGTCTTTTTTAAAGCATCTTTTAGAGATACAAACTGAAGTAATTATAGATTAAATAAATCCCGTGTAAGGGACTTATTACAAAAAATACAGGAAGGTGGGGGTATAATCAAAACAATACTGATTACGTATTGACAACTGTTAAATGAAACCGGTCATTGGTGCATGAGGGTTCATTTACACGAACCTTTCTACTTCTGTATGTTTTTACTTTTCTGTAATATAAAGGGAAAAAAAGAAGGAAGGGAGAGAGGAAGGAAGAAAAGTAAGTCTGGATATGTTTGCTATAGATTGACAAGTAGTACATATATATATATAACATCCAATCATAAGCTACAAATACATACAAATGGAGAGTATTTATGTTTTTAATGTTCCAGGCTATCTTTGCAGAACCACTGTTTGTCCACTCTGTCTGTGTTAATTAGGTGGGATAACCCTATCTCCCATTTAGTTCCTCACAACTCCGGGGAAGAGGCCCACTAGTTTGCCAGGTTATGATTCACATGGAGAAAGTGTTAGACAAACTCAAAAAAAAGTAAAACCAAAAGATGAAAAATACAATTCTCTGTAACATCCTTTGAACCCCCACATCCTACAATCCTCAAAGCCAAGTTTACCCCAGTAAGATGAGGCAATCAATTGTTTTCTTTGTAACCCAGCTTGAGATGAGTTTCTATCACTTGCATTATATATGCATTAGTCAATATAATTAGCCCTCAATAATTTAGTCAATATAATTACAGTGTGTGCCCTCAAAGTGGCAGGCATTTATAGGTGTTCAAGATACAGAGCTAATGAAGACACAGTCCCTGCTCTCTTGGAGTTAACACTCTTGAAAGAAGAAAAAGTCTTGCAAATAATTCCAGGACAACAGATAAATATAACAAAATATGATAGTGTGCTTTTTAAAAATATCTGAGACAGAGTAGAAGAAATAGATCTAACTCTGCTTAGGGACAAGGGACAGATTCACAGAAAAGAGTAGAGAGAAATGTGGAGTAGAGGCTACAGTATGGGAAGGCATGGATTATGGCTGTATCATAGGTACAGCTGAGTGTGGAATCAAGTGAAATATGGCAGGAGGTATGATACTGTAGCTTGCTTCATCCTCTTTAACAGACTGCATTCCTTGGGGGCAAGACCCTGAATGTAACTAATTTCTCTGGCCTCCAGTTTCTCCCTACTCTGATATATTCTCCACTTTGTTAACTATTATCTTCCTAAAACACCAAGTTTGCCATGCCTCAGTCCTGCTTGTAAAACCTTCAAAGAACCTGGTCATCAGGAGGACACACAAGACTATTCACCATCTGACCTAAATGCTGTAACGGCACACGACCAGACTCACAGTCCGCCATTCCACGTCACATACCATTCCTTCAAGCCACGCCACACTACTTGCTGTTTTCAGAAAATTCTAAGCAAACTGTTGAGAAAACCCTCATTCCCACACTTCTTTGAAAGAACTAGTTCGTGTTCTATATTCTTTGCTTGCTTCGCTTCTCCCCGCCCCCAACAGGAAGAATTACTCCCTCCTCTGGTTTCCATAGCAAATAACACATTCTTCTGCTACAACCTTACAAAGTTCAATGGGTTCCTGTGCCTACTTCCCCCAGTGGAAAATTAGACCCTCAAGGGCAAGACGCCTCTCCAGAGCTTGCAACAGTCTCGTACAATAGGCGACCCATGAGTGTTTGCTAAGGCTCGTGCGCATACCTCCGGACAGCCCTTCCTCCCTGCAGGCAAGATGTCCACACTCGCTTCTCCAAGCACATCCTCCCTGCTCTCATCAAGACTTAACTGATTACACACACGAAGGAATGCTGGTTGTGTTCCTCTAAAGACTAAAGCTCACTAAAGCCACAAAAGCTATGAGCAGTGTATATGCAGCCCGCCTTACACACACGCGCGCGCGCACAGTCATTCAATGACCACAAGTCTCTCCACCTTCCTGGCGAGCACCAGATAGGGGAGAAGAGCTGAGTCTCATAAAAACTTTTCTAACCAAGGCCGGCTAACGAAAGCCCGGTCGAGGGCACCAGCAGCCCAGAAGTTCGAACCAGTCGACGCTGGGGACTGCGCAGCAAAGGGAGGTGGGGAAAGGAGATCGCGGGCCCGGGCCTCACCGCGCGGCCGCTCCTCCGTATACAAGTCGATGACGAAGTCGCCCAAAGTGGTTTCCAGCAGAACCGCCATGGCGCCCGCCCCTCCTCTGCAACGAGTCCGGGGGCTGACTGGCGCAGTCGTCGTCGTCGTCGACGCCACGCGTCGCCCTCGGCGCGGCGCCTTTACGTCACCTCACCGGAGACCGCGCCCCCTTCCGGCCACTGAGCCGGGCCGGCCTAGTGTGCGGCATTGCCTGCCGTGCTCGCGTTTCCTGCCGGTGGGTCCCGCCTCCGGCGCGGCCCTTTTGAAAATCCTGGCCCGCCCGTGGCCACAGGCACAAAAGTTGTTCAAGGGCCTCTGCAAAGAGTTTTATGTCTACCTCAAGAACGGAACGCGCTCTGAGCTACTCTTTTATCTAGCCTGGCCGCCTGGTAGCCGAAGGGCAACCCCGGCTCCGCCTTTCCCCGCCTTACAGGAACAGCTACGCGGAGTTTCCTAATCAGGATCTTGTTGTCATCCTGAATCAAAAACCTGAGGCCTGAAATGTACAATTTGTTACCCAGAAAGATGGTTAACAGAGAGTCCTTTCCTGGCTGATCGTGTCTCGAGCAGACTATACATGTTACAGCAGCAGACGGTGGGTACTTCGTGCGACAAGCTAAAAAACCGTAGGGTTCAGCCCCAGATCTCTACTGGTTTTATCGATATTCAACAGAAGACTTACAAAACTACTTTTGGCCTCCGTTGAGGGTGTCCGTGCAAAGTTTATTTCCAAACTCTCCTAGCCAAGCCGATCACTTTTTATGCCATTTTATACATAATTACAACTTCTAATAACATCTGACTAGAAGCCAGTTTTTATAATGGTCTACAAGGCCTTACGTGTTACTCTGCCACCCTATCTTAACCTCTTCTCTTATTCTCCTGAGGCCATACTAGACGTTTGTAATTCTTTGGACACCATACTTTGGCCTCAGGACCTTTGCGTTTGCTGCCCTCTCTTGTTAGAACCCTCTTCCTCCAGTTATTTGCTTAGCTGTCTTTCACCTTTAAGTATCTTGCCCCTATGTCCCCTGTCGGTGAGCCTGCCCTAACCACCATCATTAAAATGTAACCCCACATACTGTCAAGAAGTGCTTCTGAGAAGTGCCTGGCCTTAACGCTTGGGTTATCTTAAAGATCGGATTTATAGTCACTATGGCAAATATTTAACGTCTGCTTTATGTCTGAATAATCTTAGGAAATTACATATGCCTAAGTAATGATCAAAGAAATAGCCTGTACAGTCAATTTTTGTATATATTAATTTGTAGAGTGAAGCTATTGACATCAGGATTTATATCCTTTGTTTAAAAGCATATATGACCTTGTAAGAAAGCTCTCCTCTCCAGAGCACTTTTCTGCTTCTGAAGGACTGTGTTTCCCCAGCCTAAGCCTGGGCTCAAATATAATAACTCTTCTGGAGTTTTACTTTAGGATTTTCTTTTTTTGACAGTACATACAGCTTTTGGTCCATAGTACTTTTTATGATCTAACATGCTATTTATGTGTGTATACTTGTGTACGTTACTAGATTGTAAGCTCCAGAAGGACAACCAATTTTATCTGTTTTGTTTACTGCTGTACCCCTAGTTCCTGTAACAGCCTGCCACACAATAGGTGAATAAGTATTAGTTGAATAAATGAATATTGGCAATTAATTAAAGAAAATGCAAATTAAAATAATGAAATACTTGATGGGAATGTATAATGATACAGCCACTTTAGAAGACAGTTTGGCAATTTCTTACAAAGCTGAACATAGTCTTACCATAACTTCCAGCAACTGTACACATAGGTATTTACCTAAATAAGTTGAAAATTCATCTCCACACAAAAACCTGCACATGAGAGGTTATAGCAGCTTTCTTCATACTTGCCAAAACTTGAAAGTCACCAAGATATTTTTTTAATGGGTGAGTTAATAAACAAACTGGTACATTTATACAATGGAATATTATTGAATGATCAAAAGAAATGAGCTATCAAGCCATGAAAAGACATGGTGGAACTTCAAATACATATTGCTAAGTGAAAGAAGCTAGTCTGAAAAGGCAACATACTACGTGATTCCACCTATATGACATTCTGGAAAAGGCAAAACTTTGTAGACAGTAAAAATATCAGTGGTTGCCAGGAGTTTCTGGAGGAATACGAAGGCATGAATAGGTGGAACACAAGAACTTTAAGGGCATTGAAACTATTCTGTATGATACTATAATAGTGGGTGTATGACATTAAGTATCTGTGAAACCCCACAGACCAAAGAATGAACCCTAAAGTAAAATACAGACTTCAGTTAAGCGGAGTATGCCAATACTGCTCCATCAATTGTAACAAATATGCCAGAACAACTCAATATGTTAATAGTAGGGGAAACGGGAATCACGGAGAGGTCATATAGGAACTCTCTGTATTTGCTGCCAATGTTTTCTTTAAACCTTAAACTGTGCTAAAAAAAAAAAAGTGTATTACAGAAAAAGATTAACCATTTTTTACCTTTTACTTAAGTGACTCAGAAGATGAACAGTCCTAAATCTTAACTTTTATATATATATGAAGCACTCAACATATTCTATGATTTTTATGGTTACTTTTTCCACCATCTCTCCAAATACCGAGTCCTCTGAGATTGTAACCAT